AATACTTATACATATTTTTTTTTTTCGTATTTAAAAATATATATACTTTTTCTTTATGTAAATGTATTTTAAAGTTGTGCAGTGGAATATTCATGGGTACTATAACAATTATGCAGAGCTTACCCTACTAATTAAAGACTCAAACCCTGACGTAATCTGCCTACAGGAAACTCATCTACCAAACAACCATAATACCACAGTTGTCCCAAAAGCTTACACGTCTTATTTTTACAATTTTTCCAACTCAGCCACGGCGTAGGTATTCTTATTAAACGACACATACCTCACACGGCCATCCAAACAAATTCCAGTATATTATCAATAGCACTACAAATTAACTTAAATTTTTCGTTTACAATATTAAATATATATATACCGCCCCAAGACCAATTACTCTCGCAAGATCTTAGGTCCTTAATTCACATAGCTAAAACTCTCTTACTAATAGTCGGAGACTTTAACGGGTGGAGTCCACTTTGGGGCTCAAAAGTAGCAAACGCCAGAGGAAAGATAATTGAAGATATTGTACTCGCTGAAAACATTATTATACTTAATGATGGCTCCCCAACACATTTTTCCACAAGGAAAACACTTACACACGTAGACCTTTCGCTCTGTTCTCCTGCACTATCTTCTCGTTGCAACTGGAAAGTGCTGGATGATTTATTCGGGAGTGACCATTTCCCAATTCTCACGGAAATACAAACAAACTTCCAGTTCCCAAATTTCCGGCCCGCTCCCAAATTTAAAACTGACCTCGCGAATTGAGACTATTTCCAACGGGAATGCAGCAAACTCTTCGGAACATGGACCTTTAAAAACATCAACCATGAAGTCTCTAAAATATCGAAAGTTATTAGGTCTGCCGCCAACAAAGCTATACCACAAACCAAACCCTTGCCCTTGCGGCAGCAAGTCCCTTGGTGGAATCGAGATCTCCAAAAACTGCGGAATAACAAAAAAAAAAGTTGGCAACACTTCAAGGCTTCTCAAACGATTTCCAACCTTGTAGCATACCAAAAAGCCAATGCTGTTTTTCGCAAGCAACTCAGGGAGGCCAAAAGAAAGGCTTTGCAAGATTTCTCTTCAAAAATTACACCACTTTCCCCTCCACTTAGACTATGGTCCAACATCAAAACCTTAACCGGACTTCCACCAACATCCATCCGTTCTGTCAGTTACAAGAATTCCGTCGTGTCCAATCCGTCCGACATTGCATCAGCGTTTGCTGAAACATGATCCAGCTATTCGAATGACAGTAACTTTTCCAATGAATATACTACAAAAAAAGAATATTTTCAATCACTAAAGTATTCTCCAAGTACCATTTGTGTAACTGCCAATAAATTGGAGGTAATTATCTCTTCCATCGAATTGGAAAATGCCGTCTCACACTCCAAAGGAAAAACGCCAGGGTTAGATCGGATCTCATACCCGATGATTAAAAACCTACCTTTAATCGGGAAAAGAAAACTTTTAGATATTTACAACCTAATGCTCGAAAAAGGTGTCTACCCTCACACTTGGCTCAATGCAGTAGTAGTCCCGATCCCCAAGCCTAATAAGCCAGTTGAAAACATATGAGGTGGGTTTTGTCAAAGGCTGAGGTGAACTCAGCCGATCCAGAGTCCGGCGAAGGTCCCACTAACCCCCACCAAATAAAACACACTATTTTAGTGTATTTACTTCGAACACACACACACACACGGCGCTACGACTAGAGTGCTTACCTTATGTCCAAAGAGAGGGAGAGCGAGAGAGGGGTGACGTTCGTTGTGGTCGTGCGGTCGGGTCGGAGCGGATGATGGCGAGAGCGCTAGCAGCACGGCGGGTGATTCTCGGCAACAGCGGAGCAACGGTTGAGCAACGGTGGGAGCGCTAGCAGCACGGCGGGTGATTCTCGGCAACAGCGGAGCAACGGTTGAGCAGCGGCGGCGGCACAGCGGGTGATCTTCGGCAACGGATGTCCTCTAATGGCAACGGGTGGCTCGTATTGTTACTCGGCAACCGATGGAGCGGAGCGACCTAGCAAGACTAGTCAGGCACCGCCGCTCCCATAATTGCACACTACATGAGTAGGGGCTGGAATGGGGGCGGCGGTAGCCGTGGCTCGGCCAACCGGAGACGATTTAGTGCGTCCGAAAACACACCACTAGGCGCCAACCGATTGGTCGAGCCGTGCTTGGATTAACCAGCCGGAGACGATTTAGTGCGTCCGAAGGCACACCACTAGGCGCCAACCGGCTGGTCAAGCAATGTTTGGGTTGACTAGTCAGAGACGATTTAGTGCGTCCGAGGACACACCACTAGGCGCCAACCGACTAGTCAAGCCCAACGCTTACCTAGCGAGACTGACTCGACTGCGCACTTGTTCAGCTTTTTATACCCGTTGCTGTGTATTTCGTTTGAGAATTCGTCGTGTACGCTGTCCCGATGGTAGCTGGCGAACGAAGTGGTTGGTATGCTGCTAGCAGTGTTTTGCCTGATGCTGTATGAGTGTGCCGAAGAGTACATATGTACATTGTCGCGTATGTACGGTGGTATATATATGTGCAGTGGAGTGTGTATGCTTCGTTTGTACGTTGTCGATATGTATCGGAAGGTATGTATATGCGTTGTTATGTGTGTACAGTGGTGTCTGTATGTATGTATAGTGGGATATGTATGTACGGTGGGGTGCGTATGTACTTCAACGTGCTGTGTACTATTGTTTCGTAGTGAATTGCTACGTTACAAACATTAATAGCTACCGCCCTATATCGCTACTATCTTGTCTAGCAAAAATTTTTGAGAAGATCATAGCTACAAGAATTTCTTGATTCATAACGCAAAACAACCTATGGACCGCAAAACAAGCTGGATTCAAGAAAGGCCACAGCACTATGGACGTCTTACTCCAAATCCAACATTTCGCGTTCGATGCACTTTCGTCCAAAGGTCATGCTAGAATCATAGCGACCGACTTTGAAAAAGCATTTGATCGCATTGGAGCCCACACTGTACTAGAACAACTGCAGAGATGGAAAGTTGGTCCTAAAATCTTTGGCGTTGTCAAAGCCTTTTTGACCAAACTTAATTTCCTCGTTCGTGTACTGAACAAAACGTCCAAGCTTCATCCGTTACACAACGGAATCCCGCAAGGATCGTCCCTTTCCGCAGTTTTGTTCATCATTGCCTTTGACCAAGTAAGCAAGATCTTAGCAAAGTATAAAAAAGTCGACTACGGAATTTACGCGGACGACCTTATTATTTTCACCAAAATAGCTGACTTATCGCTTGTAAAAGAAACATTTTCCAGAATTCTCACAGACGTTGATAGATGGGGAAACTCGTCTCGGGCAGCATTATCGATCGGCAAATGCAAGACACTGCACATCTGCAAAAAACATAACTGCCCTAACCTCGAATTAACATTCAAAAATTTAAATATTGAGCAAACCAACACCCTAAAAATACTTGGAGTAATTTTTGATCACAGGCTTAACTTTAAGGCACATTGTTTAGAATTAAGGTAAAACCTAGCTGCCAGGCTGAACATTGTTAAATTCTTGGCATCTAATGCCCCATACCATACTGCTATTCGTCGCAGCCTCAATGCTTTCCCAACATCCCCCACCAGAGCATTATTAGCCGAAGCAGGGTTACCTTCAATAGAAGAAAGAGTAAAGGAAGCTACGTGGGAACTTGTTCCCCGCCTCTTTAACACAAAAAATCCGGTACTTTTCACTTGTTTTAGGAAAGTATTCAGCCACAAGCGAAGATTCAAATTGATATCTACCATACGCCGTTGTGCAGCATACTCCAAAAAACTGGGATTCGCGCCACAAAACAGCCGCAACAAAAAATAACCCCCCACCCTTGGTGGCTCTTTAACAGTGGCGTAATCAACACGAACCTGCATCGGCAAAAAAAATCTGCAACAAGTCCTGAAATATACAGAAATCTCTTTCGCGACCAGCTTACTAAATACATCCAATCTAACTGGAATGTCATATATACAGATGGCTCAAAATCCAATGATGTAACCACGTTTGCGGTAGTCTCCCATACAGGTGAAGTCATATCAGGGGGTTGGCTTCTTGCGGGAACTTCAGTCTTCACAGCCGAAGCGTTCGCCATTAAATCAGCTATCGACTACGCGGTCAAGCACAAAGGAAAGTACATAATCTGCACAGACAGCCTGTCATGCCTACACGCAATCCAAAACGTCAATTGCTCCAGTAACCTAATTCAAAATATTAAGACGACACTGCATACCCATACCGAAAAAGTTAACATACTATGGGTCCCCGGACACGTTGGGATTACAGGCAACGAAGCAGCAAAACAAATGTATACCCAACCATGCCTCACCTTCCCCACATCTGAAAAACACGATCTGAAGAGAATTATTGCAGCCGGCAATCAGGATCGAAAGTACAAAATATGGAAAGAATGCAAATCCAGATACAGTACATTTAACACATCAGGACAAAAGACGCTATTCCCGAACAACATCACCCGCAGTCAATCCACCACATTCGTACGGTTACGCATCGGGCATACGATATTGACCCACGAACACATCTTCACAGGGATGCCAAGAAACGTTTGTCCGTGGTGCGGATTACCTCCCACAACTGACCACTTACTGGACGAATGCACTTTCCGCCAAATCGAGAGAAGCCAACATTTCAATGACATTAAACCATCCACCCTTCTTAAGAAACGCTCTTCAGAAAACATCAAAAAACTTTATAGCTTTCTTAAACAATGTAACTCGTTAAAATTCATATACAGTAGGGTTTCGATAATCCGGACAATTAAAAACCGAGCAGTGTCCGTATTATCGAAATGTCCGGATTATCGAAGTCCTAAAAAAATATAAAAATTTTACATATTCTCAACAGCTTAGTTCATTTTTATTTCATTTTATGATTTCACATCAAGATTTATTACATACAAATGTAAAATAACACAAAACTTTAATTCATGAAAATAATGTTGTATTAAGTTGCATGCTATTGATGAAGAAAATTCGTGATTTTGGTCTGACGAAGTTTGGTTTCATTGCGATTTGTATAAGCTATCTCTCTTAGGCCAATAAGTTTCAAAATATCTCCGGACCTAAAATCCTGCTCTTCAGCATATTGTATGCAAGTGTTTAATGCGGCAATAGCATCTGAATGGGATATTTTTGGGATTGGATTATCATTTCCTTCTAAAATATCGTCCTCAATTTCTTCGTCCTCCTCACTTTCCTCTCCTTGATCTATATCTTCGTCATTTATCCATTCAGTAATTTCATTATTCTGATACACATCCGGACTTATTTCAACCAGCAGGTCGATTACTTCACTTAAGTGATTAGAGCGTAATTGCGCAAGGGGCAAGTCGTCATCCGAATCCCATTCTTCGTGTTTCAAGATTCTGTTGAAACATTTTTGAAGTAGATTAGTGCCTACTGCGTTCCAAGCATTCGTCACCAAAAATGCAACGTCTTTTAAAGAAAACTTTTTAATAACATCCGTCAAATTATCGGTTAAATTTGATAACATAAATGATAGGAAACTTTTACGATAGTTCACTTTCAGAATTCGGATAGCATTTTGATCCATTGGTTGGACTAATGCTGTGCAATTGGGGGGTAAAAACATTACGCATATATCTTCTTCGGAGCTAGCTAATGACAATGGATGACAGGTGGCAAATTTTTCTCTTTTAAATGTTTCCGCACTTGTACAATAAATGAATTCTTAAACCAGTTTCTAAAAATCATCTCTGTCATCCACGCATTCTTGCTGTTAGCATACTCCAATGGCAGCTTAACCTGTTTGAACACCCTAGGATTTTTCGCTTTCCCGATCATTAACAATTTTAGCTTATGTTCTCCGGATGCATTGCAACAAACCAATAACGTGATTCGTTCCTTACCAATTTTACGCCCAGGTGCTGTTTTTTCGGTGCGCAGCGCAAGTGTTTTATCTGGTAACTTTTTCCAGAATAGTGCAGTTTCATCTGCATTGTATATTTGTGAATTTGTTAACCCCTTTTCACGAATTTTTGTCTGAAGTTGTTCAATAAATGGCTGCACAGCCGTAGAGTCATTAGTTAATTTTTCACCAGAAATTTTTAGAAATTTAATTCCATATCTTGATCGAAAGTTATTAAACCAGCCCTTGCTTGCGAAAAATTCCACATTTGAACCATAAATTTCAGAACAGAAAACTTTTGCTTTTTCTCGAAGAATTTCAGAGGATACAGGTACATTCAGCTGTCGTTTTTTTTATAAACCAATTATATAGGCGTTCCTCCATCATCTGGTATTCCGCACATCTCATCGTTTTCCTTTGGCCAAGACCATTTTCACTTTTAGAAATGTACCTAAATGCATGATTGGCATTGTTATTAGTTTCTCAATTTAAACAAGTGAGCAGCGCTGTCTTCGGCTATGCCGAAGGCTTCATACCTTTCATGAACATCTGCAAATTTTAGTTTGACAGATTACTGATTTTGATACATCGATAGAGGAGTTACATACTTATATAAAAAATCGCATCTAAACAATCAGAGGTATGGAAGATATACTTTATATGGCACCAATCTAAGTGATTTTCACTGCTATGTGATCGGTATGTAAACCGGTAACACAATTTATTGGGTTTAGTTTCCTACATAAAGGAGATATATCGCAAAAACTGGTATCTGAACAATCAGTGCTATAGGAGATAAAGCTTATACAGCATAGATTTTGACGATTTTCTCAGTAGACTTTGTATTATTATTTATAAAATATCTTACGAAATTTATCGGTTTTAGCTGTTCAAATAAAGGAGTTTTACAGTAAAATCCCATATCTGAACAATCAGATGTATGGAAGATATATGTTTTAGTCATCCGATCCTTGTTATTTTCATTGTAAGTATTCTGTTAATAATGAGTGAAAATGGTGCGAAATTTCATGTTCCTAACTGCATAAATGGAGGAGATATGATAAAAGACCTCATATCTGAACAATCAGTTGTATGGGGGCTGCAGGTTATAGTGACCCGATCTTCGTTATTTTCACTGTAAGTCTTCTGCTGATAATGAGTGAAAACAGCGCGAAATTTCATGGTCCTAGCTACATAAATGGATGAATTACAACGAAAAATCTCATATCTGAACAATCAGTTGTATGGGAGCTATAGGTTTTAGTTATCCGATCTTTTTAATTTTCACTGTAAGTTTTCTGTTGATAATTATTGAAAACTGTGCGGAATTTCCTGTTCCCAGCTATATAAATGGAAGAGATATAACGAAAAATTTTATATCTGAACAATCAGTTGTATGGGAGCTATAGGTTATAGTGACCCGATCTTTGTAATTTTCACTGTAAGAATTCTGTTGATAATGGGTGCAAGGGCTGCAAAATTTCATGTTCGTAGCTGCATAAATGGAGAAGTTATAACGAAAAATCTCATATCTGAACAATCAGTTGTATGGGAGCTATATGTTATAGTGGTCCGATTCTTCCGGTTCCGACAAATGATTAATACATTATAAAAATACACCCACCTACCAAATTTGATCCGGATATCTCGAAAACTGAGAGACTAGATTGCATACAAACAGACAGACAGACGGACAGACGGACAGACGGACAGACGGACAGACGGACAGACGGACATGGCTAAATCAACTCAGCTCGACGTTCTGATCATAAAAGTATACATTTTAATGGGTCTATCTCTTTTTGTTCTGGTACTTACAAACATCGGACCAAAGTTATAATACCATTTCATGCTCATGAAAGGTATAAAAAGAAGACAAATCTTCTTACTAAATTTTATTTTCTTACCTTTCTGTCTGTGATTCTTTTAATTTTATAACCGAAATTGTAGATTTACCTACATTATACTCCAAAGCCAGCTTTCTAACCGACTTTCCTTGCTTCAATTTTTTTAACACCTCTGATTTTTGGTCGATTGTTAAAAAGGTACGTTTTTTTGTAGCAATTGGTGGCATCTTCACTAGGCACTGTCCTCAAGGACTAAACGACTGTAAATTAACTTCACACACGACTTTAAATTAGCCTAAAATAACAATTCCCGTTCTTCAGTAGGCTCTTGCCGCACGAGGTAAACAAATCAACGTCAAGACGATAACTGAGCCACGCAGAGACATAGCATGGTCAGGCGGTGCGTGAATTCAATGCATACTTATATAATTTTAAAAAATAACGCCAATTCCCGTTGTGAGTAAAGAACTTCGAATGGATATCATTCCAGACACAAAAACAAAATAAAATATAAAGCGTCCGAATTATCGCGTACTAAGTATTGGCGTCATGTCCGGATTACAGAGTTCTCAATGGAGACCCCACGCATGTCCGGATTAGCGCGGTGTCCGGATTATCGAGTGTCCGGAATATCAAAACCCTACTGTAGTACTTTTAAAATCACACAGGTAAACGATATAGCCACTGTGCATAAGATAGAGTCGAAAGCCCTGGCAGCTAGTACTCTTTTCCTAAATTAGACTCAAGCATGTATGTTTGTATCTTATAAAATAATAATAATAATAATAATTTCCACGCCTATGGGATTACAAATTCATTTATATATATCTTTTTGTAAGCACTTGCCATAGCTATACCTGCATATGAAAATTTCAAGTTCGTGGGGCTTATTGTTCTGAAGTTATAGCTGATAAACATTTAAACGCCTATGGGCTGTGCCATATCCCCTTTTACTAACTTGTGTATTTATAGTCTACTATAAGCACATACCATAGCTATGCCTGCCCACCAAAGTTAAAGTTCATGTAACTTATGGTTTCGAAGTCATGGCTGATAAAAAATTCCACACCTACGGAATGTGCCAAGCCTCCATTTAAAAGCGCCTTCGTATATACCTTACTATAAGCACCTACCGTAGATATGTCTGTATATAAAATTTCAAGTTCGTGTGACCTATGGTTCCGTAGTTATAAGTCATACAAAATTCCACGCCTATGGGATGTGCCACTCCCCTTTTTACATACTCATGTATTTATAGCCTACTATAAGCACCTACCATAGATATGTCTGCATCCCAAATTTCAAGTTCATTTCACTCATGGTTCCGAAGTTATAGCTGATAAAAAATTTCACGACTACGGGAGGTGCCACGCCCCCTTGTCGAATCCCAATTTTTTTCTTCCTGTTATAAGCCCAGGTGTCATAGCAATACTGTGCCAAAATTTCATATGATTCTGTCCATCCGTTTAGGCTGCAACCTGGCACATACATACATACATACATATATACATACATACATACATACTTCTTCAAATATATAGTAGATATCTATCATTATCCCAGTGTATAAGAATTTTAGGAATATCTCGTCCACAATACCACCTATCGTGTACATTTTTAGTCCCAATATTTATTTTCAATTGGCTAACATATCGATGGCTGAGTGGAAGATCGACCTATCTCGGCAGCCAGTTCGAAAACGCCCTATCTCAGAAAACTTTTCAAGAACGCCCTACATCAGAATTTTATTGAAAAACAATCTATTTCAGAATTTTATTGAGAAACACTATCTCAGAAATTTGTTGAAGAACGCCCTATCTCAGAACTCGGTTCAAAAACGCCCTATCTCAGAAAATTTCAAAATATGAGCCAAATCGGCAAGTAAATGCAATTTGTAGGAATGTCCTGACCCCAGCGCCACCTAGCGAGCAAATTTTTGGTAGAAATATTTCTTCTCAAGGTACTAATATATGTTCCAAATATGAACCAAATCGGTCCAGCCGTTTAGTAGTTTAGTGCCATAAAATATACAGAAAACTCTATGAAGTTGTGAAATCGTGACGACTCACCATCCTTCATTTTTCGGCAACAATAACAAAAAATTTCAAATTTTTTTAAATCGAAAAACCTTCCACACAGAAGGTCCAAAAAAGTACTTTTTACAGAATGGAAATCGGTTCAGCCGTTTGGTCAGGCATCGCCGTCATACGGAAAACATTTCATTTTAATATATATAGATAGTATATGTATTTAAAAGTCTATTCGTTATTATTATTATTATTACCTTCCTTTTATTAGCTCAGGATGTAACTATGTAATATTGA